TGATAAGGATTATGATTTTAATAGAGAACCAACTTCTACTTATATATCTTCGAAGTTTTTGGAACTCAACTGAGTTATCTCTTTATTAACGCTAAAGGGTGGGTCTTTTATACTTTTCAGACTGCTAATTACAACTTAGCTATGTTCGCTATCTAACAAGTTTTCTATGGGTTTTTCCTTGATGTTGATTACTATGTACAAATTGTACATATGTTGAATTGTATGCGCTTACGTATAGGTAACTAATTGATTTTATTTGCTAAATGTTTGGGGTAATACATAAATAATAATAATAATAATAATATAATGTGAAAATAATAGTATCACTAATACAGTCTTCCTCCTCTATAATCACCTCCTATACAATCACAACTTCTATATAATCACACTAATTTTTAATACAATTTTTTTATTTAATAAAATACTTCTGTATAATCACAATTTGCCTATAATCACTATCACATGAGTACAGTATAAATAAAAAAATATATATATATATTATCCTTCTGTATAATCACATTAAGACAAATAATAAATACCGTGTCATTGTGAACTGATGCCCAGTGTGTTATTTTGAGACACATTTGTCCAAAGAGGTAAGATTTAACTTTTTAAAAAATAAAATTATTGTTTTTATTCATTAAAATTAAATCTTAGTTCTTTGGGAAAATGTGTCTCAAAATAACGCCCCAAAGACATTATTTCATAACAATATAGTAACACTTGTAATTAAATTTTTAGTGCAAACTTATCAGCAAAAGATAAGTCAATTTTCTAAACACGATTTTTCACCAATAAGTTCCACAAAGTCAGTACTATTAATTAATTAGCAAATCAGAAGCTCTAAATAGGGCCAATTATTTTTTGCGGTTACATTTATTTATTTTTAAAATAAATAAATATCGTAGAAAATTATTGGCCCCGTTCCAAGGTACATACATATGTAAGTGCATTGTGAAGGACAGATTTAGGCCATAAAACAAAATACAATAAAAACATAAAGCATAATTAAGGCTACTTAAAAGAAGTCGTGAATCTTACTGTCACTAGGATCTTCAGAGTATGGTTAAGTTGGTCTTTTTAATAATGGGGTTCACTTCTTTCTCCTTCAAGTTACATGAAACGGATGGGTTTATACATATTAGGATCACAGCGGGGCTTCGCTACTAAGTTTAAAATCCCATAAGCAATGACTATTTAGAATGTCGTGGAATCTGTGACTAAAGATAAGTAATTCATACTTAATCGCATGACTATAACTTTAGTTCCCACCACTTGAATGCCAAGTGTGTCTAGCTATTGTTCTTAATGGAGCTTTGCATCAAGCCAAAACCGAATTGGCATTTATTAAATGCCTTCTTCTGTGTCGATCAATGCGTATTTGAAGTCCTGAGTCATATAGCTTTGGGTCACGTTTTTCAGGACACGTTTCCCGTTACAACGTACGTAGCAGGTAGTGAAAGTGTTGCCCGGCTCTAAAATAATACAGAATAGCTTGGAACACCACTAAACTACTATCGAACAAGACCTAAAATCCCGAATTGGTAGGCTCGAGGCGTAGTTAAATTTGGTCCAAATTTGGAGACTTTGGATCTTGCGGGTCTGTCACAAGGATTTGGGATAAGTATCTAAGTATCTCTTTTTCTTTACTTTATGCTACACTATACTAATTTAATACTAATATTTTTGCTATGATTTCTCTTGGTTTTCAAGTATACCGCTTATTTCTAGTCACGTGTCTTATTTCAGCATCGAGTGATGCTGAAATCAAGAAATCGAATGACGTACGTATTTTGTAACAATGGAGTTGATCACGAATTTAATCGCTATTAGTTTTTATATAAAAGGGGGTTCGATTACTAATATGATCTTCCTCTCTTTCTCTCAACTAATTACAGTAACAGTTCGACAAAGTCGCAGAGACACGAAAATACGGGTATTACGAATGATACTTGTAACGAAAAGGGGTTTTAACACTGCTTGAATACTTCTACTATATTATTTTCGAAGTTTTGGTACCAAGAGTTGTGTTTATTTGAAGGGAATTTATTGCCGTTTTTATACATTATTTTTTATATAGCGTGATTACAGAAATGACAGTAATTTTCTATTATGCTAACTATCCTTTTGTTTTTCTATATTACTCTCTATTACTATTATTTACTTAATCATGTGGATGTTTTGTATGGTTGTGATTTATAACTATCCTTATAACTATCCTTATAACTTACGAAAATTTTTATGTTGTCCACGATTTTCGCGATTTCCATGATCCAAGGATTATTAGGACTGTACTACCTTGACACCGCAGACACAACCGGGGTGCAATTTACCCTTTCACAATGTACGTACTGTACGTACGTTGTGAGAGTGAAAACTGGTAAGGATTGGCACCAAGATAACTTGGGTCGTTTCGACCAATCGAATATATCTGACGAATCTGCCAGACCTGCTATATATGTCAGATACGACAGAAATGGCTGACATACGACAAATATTCCACCTATGACATAGAGCAGATACAGTGGAAATGGTGGAAACGGTAGAAAAGTGCAGAGTAAAATTAGTAACATGTAAAATATATTTAAACACCAAAATTCCACTGTTAATAACGGATCAAAAACTACGAAATAAATAATAGTAGTTCCCCAAGTGCCCTTTTATATATTCGACGTGTTCGTGTTTCGCTATATCATATTTGACTTGTCCCCGTGATTCGTTTTAGACCTGTTATCGTTGATTCGTTCAAAGTAAAAGAGAAAGATCGTATTAGTAATCAACTCCCTTTTTATATAAACATTGTTGCCAAATACCTACGTCATTGTACTTCTCGATTTCAGCATCCCTCGATGCTGAAATAAGTCATGTGGTCCGAAATTAGAGAACCGAAAGTCAATTGGAACCCAGGCGCACCTGAATAGTAGCAGAGATATTGGATATTAGTAGATAAAGTTAACAGTACAAAACAAGCAATAGTGGTAATATACAATTCAAGTACCCAGTGCTGGAATCTCTTAAGTTGTGACTGCCGCAATACACGTAGAGTACCATATTACTCGGACCAAATCAACCCAAGCCTACCGAATAGGATATAGAGAGATATTTCTGACTCTCTACAGTTAGGGCCTCATATCGAGCCTCCAGATTAAGGAGTTAGATTAGTTCCATTATTGAACCAAATCTCACCGTGACAACGTACGTACGTACATCTTTTAATTTTTGCCACAGAAAAAATATCAGCTTATTAATGTGCAGCCGATTGATATTTATAAACAACCAGAGAACTACCAAGAAATTAGTAAGAAAATTATGAAACGAAACGCTTGAAGAGGGATAAGTGGAGTGACGCATAGAATAGAAAAAAATTATCGAAAGTAATTTTCTTATTGTTAATCGTAATTCAACTTAAGTAAAATATTCACTTTCTCTTAAATTTAATATGTTCCTAGTAGTGTAATATATGAACCTTCGTTAAAACTTCCTGAATCTAGAAATAGACAAGATAGTACTGTATTAATAATTTTACTTTTAACCATACCATAATCTAATAAACTCGCGCATATACTTATCTAAACCCTTTCGCTGTCGTCGTTATAATGTACATATCTATTTTCATATGATCTAATATATACACAAACTGAGAACGCACACAAGCTGAAGCTTTGAAATCTAGAACAAATAGTAAAATGTTAGTACCATCTAAAAAAAAAAAAGTATAAAAGATTTTTTTTCTTTAACTTAACCCACATTTTATTCGATTTTAACCCCATTACGAATTTTGTATAAGCGTTCTACCTTCATACATAAGTAATTGAAGTTTTATGTCTTCAACAGTGCATTTATTGTTTCTCTATAGTTCTGTGTCAGAGATATTGTAAGTTTGACCAAGGACCCGAGACCCACTAGCAGCTAGGTAAAATCATAATATTAAAGAAATTCTTAGGTGGCAATTCCATCTATGATTAAGGCCGAATCCAACAATAATGTTCAAAATAATCATTATTTCATTTTACTGTCATAAACCACACATTTTATGATTTTTATATGAGCGTGTATATATTTAATGTGTATATTTATTTTAAATACACACTTATTCCAAGCATATCCAATTGTATACAATTTATAATAATTATCTAACTTCAAAACAATAATTACATAAACTATTGTTTAATAATTGATCCTATAATAAACCCAAGAATTTATAATAAAAAATAACTGTCCTAAACATTTGATCATCACACAAGTTAATTTTCATAATCATCAGAACTGTTATAGTTGTCAGGAAAACCAGAAAAATTATCGTCATCAGAAAAATCATCGTTGCAGGGAAAATCATTGTCAAGAAAGTCATCGTCAAGAAAGTCATCGTCAGGAAAGTCATCGCCGGGAAAGTCATAGTCATCACCAGAGAACCTATTGTTATAAGAAAAATCCATTTCATTAAGAGAATATTCGTCATTAGGTGGCATGGTTTGGCCGTCTATTTTAAAAAAATCTGTAATAGATTTCTGCTTCATAGACTCAGTAATTTTTCGTTTCATTAATGGTATGTATTTTCGAAATACTGTTAAGTCATTGATATTGGAAAAAAAATTATTATCCATTTGTTCAGCAAATAAAATAAAAGTATTTAACCCGTTTAATGCTTCATAAGCAGAAATTTTTGGTGGCTCGTCATCCGAATCATCCGGATCACCTTGCTGACGTTCTAATTGCTCCGCTAATACAGTTTCAACAATTTGGTTATCATCAAGTATTTCCTCCGTAGGAATATAAGTACTATTAATTTCTTGGTAAGATTTTATTTCTTGTGAAACCGTTGGATCAGTAAGATCAATTACTAATTCACTTATTTCGCTTTCTTCATATTCAATTGCTTCTAAATATGTATTTTGCGCAAGTTCAACATCGTCATTCGACAACGATGGCAAAATGCCTGTCTTTGTCCAACAATTTACTATTGTCGATTCATTCACTTCATTCCATGAAGCTGCTACATAATCGATAGCTTCCTTAATAGTTAATTTATTGCTGACAAAAAAAAAAAAAAAAAAAAAAAAAAAAAATTCAGTATTTAATTTTGAGGCGAATCTATTTGCCACCGGCGGTTATGGTTCTAAGCCAATCAGAGTACACGATTAAAAAACCCAAAAAAAAATTTCAAATCAAGACAATTCAAAATTATGCCTATGAAATTGGCTTTTGTACAGGGTTGGGTAAATTTTGTAAGTTACATTTAACTTACATAATAACATATAATTTTGTAAATTTACACTAAGGTACTTATTGTAACTTACATGTAACTTACATCAAAAATTTAAAACTTACACAACATACCCAACCCTACTTTTGTATTTTAACAAAAAATATTTCTTGCATAATTTTCCTATATATTGTGATCTTTCTAACCCTAAAAACAACTTTAAATAAAATCTGTGTACTGTCACTGCCGGTGACAAATAGATTATTTCTTAATTTTAAATATGCAGTAAAATTTACTTAGGATCTCGAATATCTAGTCCTCTGTCAAACTGATCCAGAATATGTTGAATATATTTTTTTTGATATTTTGCCTTGAAGCATTTAATAATTCCCGCATCCATAGATTGAAGATGCGAAGTAGTTAAAGCGGGCAAAAATTTAACTTGAATATTTGTTGGTTTATAATTAGACAAATCAGGAAGTGCATAAACACTTGCTCGACCTCTACCACGCTTGCCTTTGCTATGTTGAACAGTACGACTTCGTTTGTTACTTGAAGTGGTATTGCTTGATTTTGGGCGACCACGGCTGCGACCACGGCTGCGGCCACGACTGCGACCACGACTGAAACCACTTCTATTCCTATGGCTATTTGATCCAGTAGGATGTGGCTCTTTAGAATCACTATGACCAGGTTCATTAGAATTTGGGTTAAAATTTGGATTAAAATGACTTGTCGCATTATCAAGCAAAAGTAAAATTTTTCGATTTTCAAATCGAAGTTGCTGGTCAAGATCTTTTAACCACTCTCCGAATATGTTACTTTTCATCCATGCTTTTAAATTAGAGCGATATGTTACAGGTAATGTAGCATGGTTTATACCAGATAATGCCCGCGGTTCAATTGAAGATCCTATTACAAGAGGCTTTATTTTTTCGGTACCAGTTGCGTTGCATGCTAAAAGAATAGAAATACGAGTACGATCCTGAATTTATTAACAAAATTGAAAAATTTACTTAGATAATACTGTATTAATAATCTAAACCTTTAAACCTAAATTTTATAATATCGAGTTTATCGATCGATCCCGGACACCTTATCAAGAACATACCTATTTATAAAATACTTATTAATTGATATTTATTATTTGGGGTGGTTACGTTCTTGATAAGGTGTCTGAAATTGATCGATAAATTCGATTAATAGAATAACTAAAACTACTTTCTTTTTTCCATCCTGGACGAGATTGAGAAGCCAACGTTTGATTTGGTGCCAAGCGGAAAAACAATCCTGTTTCATCTGCATTAAATACGTCCTTCAATGCGTATCCTTGAATAACATTTTGTAAATTTCGTTGGAATTCTGGAAGATCGTTGGTTGACACACTGCCGGCTTCTCCATGTAATTGAAAATTTCGCAAGCCATTCCGTTTTTTAAATTGTCTTATCCAACTGTTAGAAAATTTTAGCTCATTATCAGGTAATGAAAGAGCTTTAACAAAATAAGCGGCCTTTTCCTTAATGATTTCTTCAGTCAAAAATAACCCATTACTAATAACCTGCTCAACCCATAACTTCATAGCTTGGTCTAATAACGGAAATTTTACTTTTTTATGACGAAACGTATCAGAAGTTATTTGATTTTTAACAACGGCCAACCATTTATCTTTTTCTTTGAGGATTTTAGAGATGGTTGAACGTTCAAGATTCAGTTTTGGACCTTGGGCATTAAAATACTCAGCGATTTGAATTTGTGTTTTATTAGGGTTTTTTATATGATATTTACAAATATTGCTTTTTAAACTATCACTAACTGCCGTACGAGTTTGTTTAGTAGGTTGGGTAGACATCGTAATATAGTAATAGTTATAAAAAATTTATGAGCAGAGTAGGTAAGAAAATTTAAAAATGCATAGAAGTGCTCCTCTTATATGCTAGAGAACTTTGTATACAATAATTTCCTTACGTAATTGCGAAGGTTTATTAGAATCAATGATTAAATGAATATACGTTAGTAGATTATATCATGCTTTTACGTAATTGTCATATTGATTACTAAAATGTGTATAGAGAGTATGTTATCAAAATTTATTAATAATATAAATATGTCATTTCTTTTATGTTGTATCAATTAATCAAAAGGTTCTTAATTTATTTTTCAATGGAATGTAATCATATTTTAGTACATATTCGGTATTATTTTCACACTCGAACACGTTCTTCTATTTAATGAGTGTCAATAAGAAAATTTTGACTCTGGTATTTTAAATTTATACATCTAAATATTTTAACCAAAGTCAAATTTTTTCTTAGCAACACATATTTAACAATTATAATGGTGAACGAGCAAACCTAATCTGCATTGGAAGCTAGAAGCATTCAATAGTTACAAAAGGCCCAATTGTGAATTATTTAATAATTGTCATCAATTGACAATTTTATCAATATAATAAGATGCGTCTAGTAGTACAATATTAAATTCAACGTGTAGACCAGTTTTAAGTTCCCATAATACTGATTACGAATCAGCTTGTACTTTATTTTCACATGCAAATATCACGAAATCAAATTAACTATTAAATTCAATCTTAATAAAATTTTTATATAAACTTATTTCAGTAACTAATTTAATTTAATAAAACCAGTGAGCAGATTCAGGTCCCCACTACTCTAATACAGTAAATGCTTTTCTAAAAAAGGCATGGAAGATTTGGTTCAAGAACCAAAGAATTACTCCAACTAGGACGGGTTATGGTCGGATGGTCGGATGGTCAGATGGTCTTTATTAATTATGATTCTTATCTATCTCTCAGGTTCATAAAAGCGATAGGTTTATGTACATTATGAGGCTTTGCTATTACGATTTAGATCTTACCGTTACATGCAATAAGACTATTTAGAGTATCCAGAAGAAATCTATGGCTAACAATGAGTGGTTCACACTCAATTACATGACTATGACTTTAGTTCCTACTATTTAAATATCAGAGGCGTCTTACTATTGCTCTCAATGAAGCTTCGCCTCGAGTCAAATCTGAATGAGCATTATTAAATGCCTTCGCTTTAGTCGATCATTGCATGGCTTCTAAAATATACCGGTTATACTTTACTACATTCAACACTAATGCTAACTTTTCCAATAGCCAATTTAGTTTAATGAGTTGTTGCCGTGAAAATATACCAGTTATACTTTACTATATTCAACACTAATGCTAACTTTTCCGGTAGCTAATTTAGTTGTGATTGTGCATGGCTTCTAAAATATACCAGTTATACTTTACTACATTCAACACTAATGCTAACTTTTTCTGGTAGCTAATTTAATTTAATAGGAGTTGTTGTCATACCAGTTATACCTTAAGATATACATTCATTATAAAAGTAAAAAAAAAAAATACATGAATTATTCGCAGGAATTCAAACTCGTTATTTTTGTGGACTTCACGCTTCCTTAAAATAGATTTATTTTAGGGGAATCAACAGATAAAGGCCCAAAAATAAAATAATTACAAATAAGGGCCCAAAATGAAAATAATTACAGATAGAGGCCCGATATTTGAAAATTATTGTGTTTTAGAGTTATCATCCATTATACAGAATTAAAAAAAACCACATTAATTAATTATACGATCGAATTTGCATACAAATTTATTACTGTATAATGTTTACTACAAAAGCCTAATTACTAGACAATTTTTCTTATCTGGCATTAAGCATTAAGATCAAAATGCATGTGTTAGTTTCCACTCTTTCATAGAAGTTGGACAAGTTGAAACATGAAAATTAGCTTTATTACTGTATATGAATGTAGCCATCTTTACGCTTATTAGCTAAAATAATAAAAGGGTTTATTTGTAGAAAAAAAGCCAGCAGCTTATTTGGGTTATTCGTTCTGAACTTATAAAAAGAGAAGGACTCAACAAAATAGCTGTCAAGGCCAAGCGAACATTTTTTAAATTAGTGAAGATCATACTGATCTGTAACTTTGTATCTGACATGGCACTTTTTTATGAGCAGGTTGTTAAGAAATATACCAAGAATTTTTAATGAAATAAATTTACAGCACAAATAATGTGTTAACATTCGAATGTATATTTTTTGTATATTTGAATTTATATTTGAACTATTAATTGATTATTATATTTTGCGTTAATAATTGTCGCAGATTATAATGAAATCAGATTAAAATGAAATTTGGAGTTTCTATTTAACCCCTAAAACCCACTTATACTTGTTTAATATAAATTCTACCTCTAAAGCTGACCCT